TCATCTCCAAGCTGGCTCCAAGAGCATCCAGTCTTGCCTAAAAGCAATTCCTGAGCCTCGGTGCTCACGACAGAAGGGGGCTGTCAGAGGGTTCAAACATCACATCACCGGCTCTTCTCCGGGCTTGAGCTTTGGTCACGGTAAGTCCCTTCGTGTTTGCCTTCTGCTGTAAGGCTGGGGTGGCACCCTCGGTCTTGAGAGGTTTGGGGACATCTGAGGTGCTTCACTGCTTCAGATCTAGACCCGATCGCACCTTCCCGCTGTCTCTGAGCCTTTCAGACCCACGAAAGTTACCGAGTGCTGCTGCCTCTGGTCAGCCAGAGCTGTACTCGACCCTTGCCCACCCCAAACTAAGCCCCTTCCCCTCTTCCAGGGCCTTCTCATGTTGTTACAAAACCTGCCCACGATACACTGGGGTAACGAAGAGATCGGACTGCTGCTGGCAGAAGCCTACAGACTCAAGTACATGTTTGCAGACGCTCCCAATCATTACCGCCGATAGGTGCCAGGACTCGACTCCCTCCTCTCCCCTGCGCCCACCCCCTCCTCCTGGCCCGATCCGATCACTGTGGCATTTTGTCGTCCCCAAGTCCTCGGACACTCCAGCTGGGAGCTGCTCCTCGCTGTACAAAGCTCACGGTGACTCTTCACTCTGGAACGCGTGCCTGGCTGCCGCTCCGGGCGCCTGGATGTGCCACTCCACCCGCCGGCAGTACTCCAGCTGGGGACATGGGCTCGAAGGGGCAGGGGGGGACACGGGGGGCAGCTTTACTGATAAACTGAGCCGAGGATGAAGCCCTTCTGTCCTCTCCATCCCCTGCCCTGGGCTGGAACCCCCTTGGCTTCGCTGCCTTGCGTTAACCTCCCTCCACCTGCGCTGCCCCCTCTGCTCCTCTTCTCCGACACCATTCGCTCCAACTCCCAGATGAAAATGCCTTATTGGAGACCCCTGCCCGGAAAATCCTCCCCCCTCCAAGGGCAAGAAGTTTCTCTCAGGGCCTAGCTTCACTCTGAGGGTCTGGAGACCCCCCCCCAGCACTTTGTGGGTTCACGAGAGAACCCCTGCCGCCTGCCCTCCTCCTCCTCCTCGCCTTCCTCTTTGCCTCCCTCTCCCGTGGGGCAGCGGGGATGGGCACAGAGGGGGACACCGCTCCATCCGTGCGTGGTTCCAATGACACGCGCCAGCTCAACGGGACTTTTGGTGACGGATGTGCTGTCACTCCAGCCCCCTTCGGCACTGGGGGGAGGCCCTGGGGGGGGCTGGCAGGGGAACAGCATCTCCCCAAAGCCCCTTGCAAAGCCCCCGCTCCTCCGAGGCGTTCTGTGTATATTGTGTTCTTGTGTATATGGGTCAAAGATGTACAATATCCGTCTTCTGTTTGTAGCAGATGATGATTTTATATTTATAATGTGCACCCCGTGTTCTCCCCATCTCCTCTCCACGCCTGCGTGCGGCATCATAGGGCTTCGGACCTCTCGGGCGGTTGGGGGACATTGTGGCACCGCAGGTGTTTCTTCCCCAAACGTGGTTTTTGCAGCGGTGGATCTGCCATGATGAAGAGGTTGTGATAGAAATACGGATCCCGTGGCTTCCCCTGCAAAGAGCATTTGGGGGCTTGAAGGAGATGGGAGCTCCCAGCGGGAAGCAGGGGAGAGCTGGGTCGAGGAAACAGGGTCTCGGGGCTCACCGGCTGCTGGTCGTGTCCCTCCGTGTGCTGCAGGGCACAGCCACGCTGGTGGCTCCTCTCCAGCGATGACGGATCCTGCATCCAGCGCTGGCTGCCCCCAGCAGCCCCCAGGCTGCCCTCGCCCCCGGCTGCTTTTACATCCAAGCCCTTGGGCATGTTCTACCAGGTGGTTTTCCTCCCGGGGGCAGGTGCCCTCTGTGTCGTGCCAATAGCTGGATGCAGGAGGGGGGGGGGGGGACGGATCCCAGCCACCCCTGGGGGTCTCCCGCAGCTCCCACAGGGCCATGGGGGCTGATTGCAGGACGTGGAGGGTCCCGGTCCCTCTGCTTCTGTTCCTGTTCCCCGGGGGAAGAGGCAGCAGGGGCGGGGCCAAGCGTATGAAGGCAGAGCCTTGTTGCCAATAAAACTCCAAACAGTGTCTCAAGAAATTGCTTTCCTACCTTGGAGGTTTTTTTTTTGGTTTTTTTTTTTCTTCTTCCTCAAGCATTTGGACTTTATTGGGGTGTGTGCCTGGTGGTGTTTTCTGAGAGACAGAGCGGGTGCTCCCTAGCTTAACATGATGAATTAAAAAGAAGAAAAAAAACTCAACAAAACCCAAACCCAACACCTGAAGCATGTGGTCTGGCAAGGGGTGGTGGGGCGGTGGGTCCTTGTTTGGCCTCATGAGGGGCTTTGGGTGAGTCACCTGCCGCTCCTTGTGCCTCAGTTTCCCCATCCGTAAAACAAGGAGGAGCTCCTCCTTGGGAACGCGCTGGGAGACTCGACTTTGTCCGAGTTCCCTGCGGGTCGGGGCAGCGCCAAGGACAGACTGTGCCTCTGGCCCTGGAGGGGCTTCATGCTGCTGGGGGACAGGAACAATTCCTGCGCCCCAGCCCACCCTGAGCAGCTCTAGGTGGGATTCAAGCCCCAAATTCCCAATTCCCATCCTTCAGGGATGGTGGGATCCCAGCGTGCAGCTCCCAACCCATTGCACAGGGCACAAACTCACCTCCGGAGATGTCAGAAGCAGCGTGAGAAACCCCTCTGGGCAGTCCCCATGCCTGCTCCTCTCAACCACTTTACAGCCGCATCTGGGATGAGCGGGAGGAACCCAAACCATCACGGTAAGTGACCTCCTGGCCCTCAGGACAACGCTCGCAAGGAACGACTCTTATTTTCATTTGTTTTTATACATTAGAACATTTATTTCTCAGAGAGAAAATATAGTCTCAGACAGTCAGATTATAGTAGGTAAAATTATCTTTTTTTTTTTCTTTACAAGCATAGATTTTCTTATTACCTCTCTTATACCATCTGATATAAACGATTCTAGAAAGCAAATAAACTCACTTTCTACAATAAATAGAGCGATCTGTGCTTTACAGCAGACTGACAGTAACGTTTAGGTCCCGTAGCAACAGCAGGATATCAGCCAATTCAACTTCTAAAACGTCATAAAAAAAAAAACAAACCAAAACCAAAAAAAACCCAAACCAAAACAAAAAACCCCAAATCCCCAAATCTTCAAACATATACACAGGTCACAAGTCCACAGCTGAGCTACCACCTGGAAAAGTGTATGTTCCGTGAAATAAATTACACTGTGTGCATATAAAAGACCCAGCAACGCAACTGAGGACTTCAAGAATGGTGACAACAGTCTAAATAATTTAGAACACTATTTTACACCTATATACACAATCTCCTTCCCTAGCCCCACTCCCTAGGCATCAATATTATTATTTTTACAAAATCCTCTGCCCCATCTCTGTATGTTACAGGAGTCGTCCCTTAAAGTGTGGTTCCATGTCCCAATGTATAAGAAGTGGTATTTTAAAAAAGTCGACCAAGTAGAAATGGCAGTGATTACTCCCCACTAGTCATCACTATTATTAATTATTATTATTATTAATTATTATTTTTCACCCCACATTCTCTTCAGTATGAAAAAGTTAAAATAAAAAAATAGCGAGTTAAAAAGCAAAATTATGATCTTCAATCTACAATCTTGCTCTGCACCTTTGGTTCTTTAAATGGGAAAGCAAACACGGGACACGCAACAGAAGAGCTCGGCGAAATCATCCAGTCCTTGGTGGATAGAAAAGGGTTTGGCATCGAGTTTCCAAACATCACTTGTCCCCGTTTTCTGCAATACAAACCCCCCAAATCCTGGGGGTGTCTGCAGAGCTGGGGGGACGTGGGTTTTGGGGGATGACACCGCTGGAGACCCGCACAGCAGGGAAAGGATGCGCGGGAGAAGGCGAAAAGGCAAAATGGTCGCTTGCTCTCGGTGGGGCTTGGTTTCAACCTGAACTGAGCCAGAGGAGAACATCAGAGAGAGAGAAAAAAGGGAAGAAAGAAAGAAAGAGGAGCTGTACACCCCCTTGTGCAGCAAAAACACAAAAGATGTGTCACCTCCCTCCAACCCTGATCAACCTCGGTGCCTGCAAAGCTGCTCCGGCTCACCAGGCACCTCCACTATGAAGTTTTGCTTCTTAAAAAAAAAAGAATTTTCTTTGCTCAGTAGTTTGCTAAACCAGGATATGAAATGTTACTGGACCAAGCACAGTCACAAAATCAGAATCTGAATGTGAAAACTACCAAATAAATTTCTAGAACGTACACACACACAAAACTCCGGGAAATCTGCTTTTTGTCTTTAAAGCTCTGTGCATCTCCGCACCTAAGTGTGTGCAGTGCAGGGGAAGGTTCCCAAAATATTTCAGACTTTTCTAAACGCAATGAGAGAAACCCAACATGAAAACACTACGGACATGGGCAGGAAAATCCTAACGCAAACTCCCAGCTATGATTTTTTAATTTTTTTTTAATATAATGGGACAATCAAAAGTCATATAGAAAAAAAAATAAAAAGGCCAACGATGGTTAGGGTAAATTTGGCACAAGAATCGTCCGGTTGGGATTTCCATAAAGGATCCTGGTTCGGTTACTGCGGTGACGGGTCCCCGGGAATTACTCGGGGCTGGCCGATGACTTCAAAACCCCGGCGGCACAGGGAAGGGAAAGGTGCATGAGGTCCAAACCTGCGAGGGCTGCACCAGCTCACCTCTGCTCCCGTCACCCGGCAGCTTTTCCTGACTCCCTCACTCCTGGCCCTGTGGACAATACATTTCATCTCCTGCCAGCTCTTCGGCGAGACACATTCAGAAAGAAGCTGGGCAGGATTTTTTGGCACGTTTCAGGGTATTTCCAGGAGCACTGACAGCTGCTGGGAACGATGTCCCCTGGCCCGTCAGCACACGAGCCAGTCCGCTCCGCTGCCGCAGCCCGTGCGGGCACTGGAGGAAAAGGAGGAGCAGCCGCCCCGACCCCTTACAGATAATTAGACGTAACGAAGGGATGATCTCCCCGCACGCGGCTCATGTGGATCATGGCTCGGTCGTAGGCCACCTGCACGGATTTGCGGATGCTGGTTTTTCGGCCTTCCAGCATCTTTAACTTGTCCACGGTGTCGTCCACGCCGAGCGGATGGACTTTGTCACGCGGGAGCCACTGCCTGGAACAGAGCGGAGAGCACAAAGTCCCGTCAGCGAGGGCAGCGAGAGGGGAACCAGGGAAAGAAGAGCCAACGCCTGGAGGCCTCTTGCCCTTGCAAAGCTGCGCCTGAGCTCTCTGCAGGAGGCTGACAGCTCCCGTGTGCCTGGTTTGAGTCTCAAACCTGCCACAACGGGCCAAGGAGTCTGTCCCAAGAGTCCCCAAGACACGGCCAAGTTCTCCAGCCCCTCCAACATCCCCCACGTCTCAGCAGTGGTCACTCACTAGTTGTATCCCCCCTCCGGAGCAGCTACATTCGTGTGATCCATTTATTTATAATTAACACCCCACAGTGATGCTACCAACGTTTCAATGTCTCCATCTGACACGGAAGAAGCACCTGTAGCCCAAACGCCTTCCTGCACGAGCTGTTTTCTCTCTCCTTGGAGTCCTTACTCAAGGCTCTCGATGCTCCTCAGAGCTCCAGGGGAAAACTTGGAAACTCCCGTGTTCCACAGAGCAGCAAAAACAGGGACTTCCATGGTGGAAAGGAAGTTTTTATCCCTGAGAAAGCTCTGCCTTGTCCCAGGAGGCTGTAAGCATCAGGGTTTGGGCAACTACAACGACCTGAGTATCATCCCGAAACAGGCAGCTTCCCTGTTGACCCCGACCTACACCGCACGTGCCAGTCAACAGCAAGATTTGATTGTGCAGTTATCAGCCCAGGTTAATTAGAACGCTCAGCAACACGCCAGCCACCCTTCCTAACGAAGCCCAGCCCCTAGAATTAAACCTCAGCCACCGCCAGCACAGCTCAGTGCATCTCCCAGCCTACCAACGCGGACAACCCAGAGCAGCTCCACTTATCGTCACCCAGGGGCCAATTTCAGCCTTAGTGACCCTTCTGCAGCCTCACTGACCTCAGCAGAATTCAGAGTGGTTTAGGACTTTCCTGAAGCGCCCTAGTCTCCCACAAATTGCCAAAAAAGCCCTAAGTGGCCAATTAAAAGTATAAACATCTACCAGAGCTTGTCTTCAATAAGAGCAGGCCAAAGGCAAGAAAATGATGATTTTTATTGGGAAGGGAGGTTCAATGGCAAGTTTGGATTTTGATTTTTCAAAACCCATGATTACAGCAAGGGGAAGCACAGCACTGCCATTGATTTTCAGCTAAAAATCATGATTACCTCTTTGAAGAACATGCCCTGGATCAAGTGGTTCTGGTAACCAGGGACAGCGAAACAATGCTGTGGACTAATCGAAAACCTCAGGAGCGTGTGTGTCTCTTGGTACCTCTTTTCCCCAGAGGACACAAACAAATGGCCCAGCATCTGCTTCTTCCGCAGAATCAACTCTCTGGATCTCTGACCCCAGCCACACGCGGGTATCGCCTCCAGTGAGATCATTTATTTGCTCGGTTCACGTTCCCACGTGGCGTTTGGTGGTTACACACTCCGTAGGGTTCAGCGTGCGGCTGCCTGCCCCATGGCAGGGACTCGCCTCTTCCAGCATAACGCTCCGATTTTACAAGTTTCCCGTTGTTTCTCACAGGGATTTCAAAGCCTTATTGCTCATTTTTAAGGCACTTCACTGGTTTGTGGCTTATTCTGTGTGGCTGGGTGATCGGTGCCATGTGAGCGTGGTCAGCCACTGACACTAAAATCAGATTCAGTCTAAGACAGAAAAGGCCTCGAGATATTTCACTTGCCCTGAACCAGGTCCTCATACCTATGTTTTTAATCTTAAACATATATCTTGATTTCTAAACAGCAGCTCCAAGCATCGGGCAAGGCTAAATACGGAACAAACCCAGCGTTTTGAAAATGTTACCCTGGAGATTTTTGGCAAATCTGTTGTGCAGCAGCGGAGCTGGCTGCTCATTCTGCTGGTGTTGTTTTAAAATCAAATGCGCTCTCTCATTTGCTGCAGGTTTTGACTATGAAATTGGCTCTTCACGTGCCTCGGTATTTTTGCCGTGATGTGAACCCCGGGTGAAGGATGCTGTGCTGTTCACCACAGAAGCGGAGCAGTCAGATGCTGTGCTCTGGGGCCAGGGAAAAGCAGATTTCCTCATTTCGACTGCTGCATGGTTCAATTCTCCAATTTACATGTAACACCATCACCCCTGTGTGCTCTCACGTATCAAAGATTATGTTCCATCCTCCCTCTCTGCCGCAGCGCTGGCCGCAAGCCCCCGCCTGTCCGCACGCACTCACCAGGTTCTCTTGTTGTCGAAGAAAAGGACGAGGAAGAGCTTTTCTCCTGCCTCTGTCTGCCTCTGCTCCCCCAACTTCAACACATCCACGGGCGGGACTGGGATGGGGACTCCATTGTGCAGCAAACCCTCGCGTGGCATCTTGGGATCGATTATCTGGTGACACAGGGAAAGGATATTTAAGCACAAACCCCTTCAAGTACTGCAGAGAATGCATTTGGTTTTTTTTTCCCCTTTTCTTTCAGTCTATCCAAGCTAGACAATTCAAATCTACTCCGGATGGGCACGCTTGCTCTGCTTGCTCTGCCTCAGCGACTCTTTTTAAAGAATTTTCCTGACCTTGAGGCTTTCCCCGTGGAAGGGAGCCAGCTGGTCCAAAAGCTAAGCAACCTATTCTTAAAAAAATGGAAAGGATGTAAGTATGTGGTTCCGTGTGGATGTAGATGAATTTACAGTAATTGGTGATTCAGTACAAACTCGGTGTTGTTGTGTTCGGCAAAGGATTTCCCTCCCTCCCTCCCTCCAGACTCAGACAATAAATGTCAGGCCACCGCCGGGCTCAGCAGGCACAAGGCGAGTTCAGAGCAGCTCGATTCTGGCACAATTCATTCGACTGCAGCGGCGTTGCTCGGGTGTATGCTGCTGCGAGATCAGAATCAGGCCCAGTATTTGGAGAGAGGTGAGAAGCAGTGCCGGCTTTATCAGGCTAGAGTAATTTTGGAGAGGAACTGGAGATCATTTTGGAGAGAACAGACGCACCAATTCTCCCCATAGGAAGCAGAAATGTCCGTGTCCAACATTTGCGCTGTGTGGTCGCAGGAGAACAGAACAGGGCTGATGTCACACTTGGTCTACTCTGCCTCCTGATCTTGGCTCCTATGAGCTTGAAAAAGCCAGGGGAATTTATTAAGACACTTTACCACGGTAACAGACTGCCTTTTTTGGGGACAATCTCACCATTAAAGCCATGCTAAAGCACAATTTGACTTGGGCTGTAGCCACACAAAGATCTAAAAACGCTTTGGCTGGCCAACACAGCCAGCAGGTTCACCCGTAGCTGTTCTCTCCTCTGGGCTCCCACCTAAGAGCACAAGCGTGGCAGTGGGTCCCTCTTTCAGCAGAATCTGCCCTTTTGGAGGCATCAGAATTGTGCTCAGCCCTGGCCAGGCGTACGTGCTGCGTCAGCTCACGCCTGGTTTCACCACTCTGCTGCTCGGATGTAGAGACTTGAGTCATCTCTGTGACGATTCCATTTGTTTTCAGCCCCTGCAATTTCTCAGTGGTCGCAAGCGCCGTCTGCCTTAGCGATCCCAACCGTAAAGGGGCTTAAGGGGACGGCTGCAGCCACGCAGAAATTACCTGGAGCAGAGCTGTCAGGAAGAGCCACGTCTCACGGGATATATTTAAAAGTAGCAGAAAGAACCGAACACAGATGGTCCATCTCATGTTCTCACTTATATACTTACTCCGGCAACCTCTGTTGAGAGCTTAACAAGCAGTTCAAAGCCTGCAGCGGTGCTGGCACTTCCTAGGAACCGCTGCGTGTCATGTCTTGCTTTGGAACTGAGCATGGTGCTCGCTGAAGCCAGGTTTTGGGATTTCACATGAACAGGCAAATATCCCAAGCAGGGAAATAGTAAGGAAATGGCATTCGAAGGACTAGGTGTGAACACATGCACGTGTTCTCCTACTTAATCAAACATATGGTTATTGCAAGAGTGTATATACACCACCAGGCCAGCTGGGCACCTACGTATGGAGTCGTACTTGCTAAAATGTGCGGGTGGTTAGACACCAGTGGAACCTGGTGCCTGCCTCTGTAAAATTTAGGTCTTCTCACGACAACAGGACCAATTACTTTCCCCAGACCTTAAGAGTGAAGAGAAGAGGAGAGGAAAGATGTCCTCCTATCCCTGGCACCGAGAGACCAATGTTTTATGAATCCTCTGCAATGCTCTGAAACAATGAGCACAGGGAAAATTAACTGTGCAAAGGGGAAAGGAAAAAAAAAAACCAAGCACATAGTGCAGGATTTTGGGTAGTTTTCCTTTTCTGTCTGGTTACACTGCACACTAGCACTGTGCTCTGGGCTCCCTGCACTGCAGGTACAGGCTGCGAGAGAGCAGCGGGGTACTCACCAAGGCGGGGTAGGAGGGATAGCCGCGGCACTTGGCCCACACCAGCTCCAAGGGCTCCAGCTCAGCCTGGCTCTCGAAGGACATGAGCAGAGTCCTGCCTAAGGGACAGAAGGAGACACGGCTTAGGAGGGTGCGCCCCAGCAAGGGGGTTCTGATGGAACCACGCCATCATCTAACCCAGGCACGATGGCCTGCACTGTCTCATCTAAAATGGATGAACCACTGTACTTAAAACATACTGACAATATTTCTGGTTTCATTTTTTAACCTACTTGCTTCTGCAGCAAGCAGAAAGCTGGAATTTCACTTTTTTTTCAGAACAAACCTAGCGTCCATCTATTCATCACATTTAATCACGCACGTGTGCACAGACCACTTCTCTTAATCACAGTCAAGAGCAAGATGGAAAGCCATTTACTGTCTGTACCTAAATGCATTTGGTGTCCAATCCAGAAGTGGTAAGACACACATCTCATCTGCAGGAAGTTTATGATAAAACTTAATGTGCAGTGAGATCCAGCCTGGCCATGGTGAGTGTCCAGCCTTTATGCTCTGTCAGTACCGTCACGTTCCGCATTAAGATAAAGCCCCGGTCTCCTAAATCACGGGTCTCTGATGAACTCTTTCATATGGAAATATTCAGCAGATCCAGCTCTGGGGTGATTAGCTGCTGTATCACTGCAATCAAATGGGTATACAAGAGATGAATTTGGCCCATTAGGCTCCATCAAGGCAAATCCATCCTCCATGGAACTGATGAAGCTGCACCTGAGATTAATTTGGACCACTGTTCAGAGAGTTCCTTTTTATTCCTTCTAAACACAAAAATCCAGACTGATGCCATAGTCTTTGGGGCTATTTGATCTCTAATGGAAATGCCTGGTTCTAGTTGACAGAAGTCTATTAGCCACCAATTCTTTCAAACTTAAGTGAGAAGTATTGCAAAAGATCAATTCAAGACATGAATCTGCCAGCTCCTGGCCCTGAAAAAGGAGTAATCTTCATTAATGTGAATTTTGCGGCAAGCAGTGATTGCTCTGGGGGGAATGGTCAAACACGGGCTTCACAAGAAGTCAAACTGAATCCAGACAAGGCCAAATGGAGCCCAAACGAGCGCATTGCCAAGACAGACCTAATGTGCTTTTCCACTGCTGTATTCCATTAATGAAACGATGTTGAAAACCACAGAATCGTCCCACTGATTCCAGTTCTCCCAGTACCAGCACTGCTCCCAGGAGACAGGAGGATGGGAGCTGTGCAAGGGGCGCGGGCGTAGCAGGGGGTCAAAGCTGAACTCCGACTTCAGCACAAACCTGCAATAACCCCAGCACTGACGCAAAAGAATCTGGCTGTGGGAGCGCCATGAGATTGGTGCAGTGCCTTGGGTGGTATTAGAGGAGTGTGACTTAATTTTCCTGCTGTATAGCACAGCCTGACAATGACGACTTCGTTACAAAGCCCTTGAAAGCAATGACAGTGGAAGAGGGAACAGCTCTGGAGTCATCTCCAGAGAGACCCCTCTTATAACCATGATTTACTGTTTGTACTGCAGTATCGTGGAAGAGAACTAGTCCCAGATCAGGAGAACACACGTGCCAGTGACATTACACACACCAGGTCTACAGAAAGCACCCATTTGAGGGGAACTCAGGGCACAGGCAACCAGCAAAAGGAGGAAAAACCTTGCACGCAATAACCTGAATTTGTAACAAAGGCGGTGACAAGGCACAGGCAGGTCAGCAGCCTCATCGTGCAATCTGGACTCGTGCAGGACCGGTTCCTGGTGTGCGCTGAGACCTGCTCCCCCTGGTTTGGGTGGATGTCAGCCACATGGTGTGGGGGGACCGGAGCAGGGTGCTCCCCAAAGTGAGGCTGCTGTGCAGCCGTTCTCACCTGAGCTGCTGTAATCGGAGTCTCCGTTCACACCTTCCAAGAAGGGCACCCGAGACAGAGCTGGCTTCCCTCGGCTTCGCTTGGGAGGCATCAACCCGCTGTCAGAAAGACACAGTATGTTAGGAGAAAACACATTAGCCTTGAAAGCAAAGCCAGGTAAATGGATTCCCCAGCTCTGGCCAAAACACTGGGAAATTACTGTACTGGTGCATCCTTGAAAAGAACAAAAGGGCATCACCACACCTCTTCTACAGCAAGTACTCTGGCCATCACCCCAGCTTTGCCATGAGCAATGAACGGTACCTAATGGAAACCAAGCTGCGAACACGAGGAGGAAACCCAGCAAAGAATTCCCACTAGAGAGCAATCAGATCTTTCCATCAAATCACAGAATGGTTTGGGTTGGAAAGGACCTCAAAGATGAACAAGTTCCAACCCCCCTGCTGCGGGCAGGGACACCTCCCACTAGCCCAGGTTGCTCAAAGCCTCAAAGCCTTTCATTTATTTATGTCTTTCTTTTTTCTTTTATAGTTTTTCAACAAGCAACCCGTTCTGGGTGACGCTGGTGCTCACAGAGGAGGAGTGGAGAAAAAGCAGTAAACAGAACTGTTCCCAAATAGAATAATTGTACAAGTTATCCATGAGACATCAGCTTGGTTTTAATTCCTCGTTTTGTGGGTGTCACATAGCTCTAATGTGATTTTTGCTAGGTGAATTGCTTGCAATTATTGTAATAAGCACTTACAACACACTTTTCATCTTCCAAGTACACAAACATCAACTACACTCCCCTGGGAATCCAGATTTGTCTCCCTCACTTACAAATGGGGAAATGGAGGCAAATACAGTGGGGCCAGGAGGACAAGACATGGTTTGAAGGGGAGTTTCTGGCTCCCGGTCCTGTTCTGAGAGCATCCTCACCCCACGAAGGATTTCTGCATGACTCAAGAGCCCTCATTTAAATGACACTACAACTAGGCACAAATCCAGTTCACTCCTTTTTGTTCCCTTTGATTCGGCTCCTCACTTTACAACAGTTTGTTGCAGTAGGTTCTTGCGAGCTCTGCGGAGAGGTCATGATAGTATCCGGCTCACAGAAGAGGTGATTACGGAGCTGAAGACCTGGGCACACAGCCCAAAGAGTGGAGAGATGGGTGGGCATCCCATCTCAGAGAAGAACCGGAGGTCCTGTGCCTCCAAGGGACTCAGCACGTGCTATGAGAGATCATTTCCTGGGACACCGCGTTCTCTCCTCGGGCTGCCCAGCACCTGACTGTGGAGGTGGGATCGACGTGCCGCAGGGAACAGCCCTCACACCCAACTGCTCCTCCAAACCCTAGGCTTTGCCTCTGGTCATGGGCACGAAAGCCTTTGCAGAGGATTGGTAACACTCATCCAGCCTTAGCTACAACTGCAAAATTACACACCTCTCTTGACAGCTAACGTTTAGGATCGTGCTGCCTAGCAGAGCGAGTTTTCATTTGAAAAATCCTCCTGGGATTCAACCCTGCTGCAGAATAACTTGTCACACAGCTTCTGCAGCCTCAGTCCCGAGAACAGGTGCATGTGGGGAGCTTTACGATTTTAGGTGCCCAAGTGACACCGCAAGCCAGAAGCCTTACAGGGCTAAGTGAGCAGAGGAAGCACAAAATGTCCGAACGTATTTCTCAAGTGATGGGTCATCACCCTCAGGGTCACTGAAGACAAGCAGAGAGCAATGATGTGTTCAAGGCACTGAAAATATTACTATGAGTATCAACCAAGAAAATCTTGCTTCTGACTGTCCTGGATGATCTTACCCATCAAGGTCAGATGTTCTCAGCCTCACTCACAACACACAAACGTGATTCTGGCGTAATACGGGTTTTACCGTGCAGTAAAAGGGCTGTGAACGACTTGAGTCGGTGTTAGGAGGGCTGGATAGGTAGGTAAGACCAGAAAATGGATATGGTACCCACGTACGCCTACTGCATCTGCCCACACACCGACTTCTGCTTTCATCTGTTCAGTCCTGTTTGAAGGGCCTGGTTCTGGACTTAAACCCCTGGGAGGAAGCAAGCAGCAATTCAGTGGTGGTAGAAATTCAGCTTCACCTGCGGCGCTGAACTGGACATTTCAGCTCAAGGTTTTCCTAGCTTTGGCTCTCGAGAACTGCAAGAAGGTATACATCAGCAGAGAGGGTGTGTATGCACTGAGAAACAGAAGCGTAATGGATTTCCATTTGCTTGAAAAATCATGTCCTGCTTTTGGGACTCATCGCTTAAAAGGACAGGATGGAACCTGAGAAACTCTCTGTCTAAAGACAACACACAAAATGAAGAACAGTTTGGGCTGGTTTTGACAAAGAAGTAGAATGATAAAACCAGGCAGATTAAAGCAGACACAGAAGGTGTTCTGGGAATAGTTTCGCACGGGGCACTTACCTGCAGGCTTCCAACGCCAGCCCACCACCCAGGCCAGAGCCACACTCAGAGTCAGAGCTGCTTTCTGCGTGCTTCGCAAAGCCGTTCGCCACTCCTGCCCAGGAGACAAATGGGAATCAGCCCAAAGAAGCAGCAGCAACACACAGAGATGCTACCAAGGCTCAGGTAAGGTCACCGTCCCATGACTCACGTCCACAAAGATGCTGAGTACTTCAACCAGAGAGGGAAAATCTGCACAGAGCTCTCCAGACTCGGCTGCAACCAAAAGGTGACTAATCAAAGGTATTTCTACCCTCGACACATGGAAAATCAGGCTGTCTCTGAAGAGGCAAGTGCTGGAGAAGTGCCCAGGGATGGTACAGGAGAGCTCCACGCAGCACCCAGCTCGCCGGGGAAGCCCAGAGGCCAGGAAATGAGCCACTTGCTCACGTGGCTTCAAGTTGATTTGGAAAATACACGGAGGCTTCACGCTGGCTGCCACGGACATCTCCCTGCCTCACCCAGGCTCAGCTGCTGGGCTGGCCCGTGCGCAGGGGAGCAGGCACATAAAACCACAGCTTATTCAGGTACGGGCTCCTTGCTGAGAGAAAACTGCTCAAGGAAAAACTCCTTGCTTCAATTTCTCAAAATGAGATTTTCCAGCGCAAAGAGCAGACACTGAGGAAGCAAATTCCCCCTGGGCAGAAGGCAGCTCCCCACCACCTTCCTCCCTCGCCAGTACAAATGTCACTGTGGCCATAAGTGGAATATTTAACTTTTTTGCCCCAAATGCCAGCGGCGCTGGAAATCTTCCCTTCGCTGCCAGGTTTTCTGCTGTGAGTACCGCAGGGACACCTACACAGAGAGCTCGGATTACCCCTGAGCTTGGACAGGATCCACAGCCAGGGACAGGCAGGGAATGACCCCTGAGAGCAAGCCCAAGCCCCATCCAGGGACCCACCACTCCCAGGATCCTCACGGGCTCACCAAAAGCCTGTCAGCCAAAGAAAGGGCACATTCCTGCCAAAGCCACTATTGTTTTTTTCTACCTGTAAATACGGAACTGCTACAAGGAGCACGTTTCTGGGAAACTCCTTGTTCTGACGACCCTGGCCACGCTGACCTGCTCCTGCAGGAACACAAATTCGGCACACCAGCCACTCCCTCCAGGTAGGAGAAATCAGTTGTTGTTTTAAACAGTGGAAGGAACTGAATCACAACAGCACTGCAACTCATCGGAAAAAGCCAGCAGTGCTGCTTCAGCAGAGGAAAAATCGCACTGCCTAGTTATCAGTGATTTTCCAGTACCCTGCCTTTATTTTCCCTTTTTTAATTTCAGCCTCTCATTCTGACCTCTGTCCACTGGGAGCAACTCCTCTCTGCTTTAATTACTGGCAGATGATGACAGTAAGTCCCCAAATCTTTGGAGAAGCCATTTATGTTTCCTTTAACCTGTGAGTGAGTTTCAGGTGAGCAGTCTGGATGCAGATGTCTTTACTCAGCCCCAGGATTCCCACTCCCTTAGCCCCATCTCGTAGTTTCCAAGGGTTCAGAAGGAAAAGAAATCCCAAGGAATTACCTCTCTGTCCCGCCTGCCTGGGTGACTTCTCTCCATCGCTCTCACTGCAGGTCCTGCCCTGCGGCCGCTTCCGAGATTGTCGCTCCCTGTCAGGGCAGGAGGGCGAAAGCTGCCCGCGGTCCTCCCCGTTCTCCAGGGAGCAGTCCAGGCCTCTTTGCAGCTTCACCCCATTCTTAGCTTTTTTAAAAAGGACAGACGTCCGTCGGCCCACGCCACTGAAGGGGGGGCTGGCAGGGGTGTCTGCAGGTGGCAAGGCCAGTCCGTTCAGGCCATTGTCGCTGAGCAGGCGCTGGAAGGCTTGGCTCTCCCGCTGCAGAGCCTTCTTGTCAAAGAGTTCCTTGTCCGACATCACCTTCTTCTGCAGCTGATTCAAGGACTTGCTTTCGCTGATGGGTTTGAGCGTTGGAGGGTCCTGCAGAGAATCCAGCTCCGAGAGAGCGGGTGCGGGTCCTGTGGGCTCCAGGGTTGGAGGGTGCCGGGGTTTGGCATCATCTCCTAAAGGAATAAAGAATCTGCTTGAACATTTTAAAAAGAGTTATTGCCAAAACTAACAGCCATTCCCATCTTTCAAAAAACAGAAGAAACAGCAGGTCTTGACTGCTGACATGCTCTAGGAGAGCTGGAGCTAAAATCCTGCTGCAACCTCTCACCTTTTTCGCCCTCCTCGTCCCCATCCCTTGCTGTTTTATCCAGCCCTTCTTCCCGCAGCGCAGGCTCCCCGTTGGGCATGCTCTTGTTTTGCTGCTGGGCCAGCTTCTGCCGAATGGAGTTGATCTCCCGTCTCAGGAGCCGGATGCGTCGCGTCCGGGCGCCGCTGGACCGCATGCTGCTCACCATGTCCAGCTTCTCCAGCAGCTCCTTCAGCTGGGCCTCCAAGGAGAGGTGAGCCCGGTTCTCCGGGAGGAGGATGTTATCCACTGCATCAGAAGAGAGTGTAACAGTGAAGGGAAGGAGCAAGGCTTCTTGAAGAAGCATTTGGGACCACCACCGTGCCTCATTCCCTCTGCTGCTATTCATAAACCAATTGCTTTAGTTTGTGGAGTTAGGAATTGTTAACCTTGGAGCTCAGACTTCCTTCTTTTGCCCAAAGAGCAGCTGATTTGACTTGCACTGCCCTCCAGTTCCCATTACTGTCCCAGGGGCAGCATCCCAGTATCTGCACCCACACAAGACAGCTCACGGTCCAGGTCCTTGGCAGAAACCTATTTCATTGCCAGATTAAATGAAAAAATCAGACCACAAACAGAACTGGCCAAAATAGAACATGTTTGGCATTCCTCTGGCTCTGCTGAAGGGCTGGCATCCAGCAGCGCAGGGCAGGCAGCTGAGGGCTGTGCTATCGGACAGCAACACAAATTTCTGTGCATCTGCATCCACGAGGGCTGCAGCATTCAGGAGTCGGACGGCAGACTGCAAGCTCTGCATGCAGGATGGCAGCAGCATTCTGTACTAAGTTCAGACAAGTTATTCAGCCAATGCTTTGGAGCTGCCACCTCAAGACAGCTACAGGAATGGATGTGAATGGAAAGTCTTGGCTAGAAGGACTGCTCGGGTTCCAGTATCTTAACCCCACACCACCCTCTCCCAGCCCTCAGTGCTCCATCTAACCCAGCTGCTCTACACCTTGCCGATTTACAATGAAATGTATGAGCTTTACTCAGAGCAAAAAATCCCAGATCCACCTTTGCACTGTTCTTTAAAATACCAAGTTTATACTCTAGCCGTGGCACAAATCAAACGGCATGGGGAGTTACAAGGCTCTTCTGAGGCAGACATGCACTAGGAGAGCTGGAGCAAAGCTGCACTGATCTCCAAGTGCCTGGCTCACCTGAAATCCTGCTGTTTGAGGCTCTAAAGGTGTTAGATGTATGCTTAGGAAAATAAATGGATAGCAAAATTCTTGTATGCTGAACCATGGCTATGATTTACATGCAGGCTGAGTGACATGCTCAGAACAAAGAACACAGTTATGATCTGCCCGGAAAAAAAAAAAAAAGCTTAATAAACACTCACCGTCCTCCCAAGAAAAGCGGTAAAAGTCCTCGGTTTTGGGTGACTCGGGCAGGTGAATCCCCATATCAGTGTCAAAGCCGATGTTTTCAGCCTGCCGCCGCGCATGACGCAATATCGCTCCTCCGAGGTCTCTGAGCCGGACAGCTGCTCGGTGGAAAATCGTGTCTTTAGCATTATACCTCATGCAGTTGGTAACTATAAGGTTAAAGTCTTCCTCAAACTCATCCAATGTTCGGTACAGGTGGGACTCCAGCTTCCGCCTCATGGTGGAAAAATCCATTGGGTTGGAAATGAATTCCAGGTAATCTGGAACCTAAACATATAAAACCTGTACAATTACAAAAACCATTTACTAGCCAACTAGAGCGCATCCATCATAAGCACTCTTAATGCCCTTTCCACCGGCAAGGGGCAGCGCCAGCAGTTTATTTCTGTGTCGCCCAGTCAAGGTAGACACGTCCTGGCTCTGTAAAACATTACTTGGCTGAGACGTGCTGAAGCTTCCAGGAAACAACACTCTTTTTTTTTTGGCCTGGAAGGATCCTCACATTGTGAGTCCTCTTTGAGATATTCTTTAGTCCACCAGCAGCTTGGGACAAGGTGGTTTGTGCCACCAGGGTTAGGGCAGCACATGAGCTTCTGCCCAGCAATAGCTCATCTACAGCCCACTAGACACCTCTAGGAAAGAGACTTGCCTCGTTCAGGTTAACAGGCTCCGAGAAGATCTGGGCAGCGTCCTTCTCCTGCAGCAGGTCCAGCGTTGTGCGCAGAAGGACAGTGAAAGGGGTCAGCTGGAGCTCCATAGCGGCTGAATGGGAAAACAGTGGACGAGCACAGTCAGCGAGGACAGGATATGTGAGTGGTGTCTCCCTCCAGTTTCTCCTGAATCATCACCCCAGCTCTTCTCAGTGCTGGAAACCTCAGGTCATCGTACCACTAGCTCGGTAGACTCACGGCTGAAGAATTTCGGGTAAACACCTTGCCCCCTCCGTGTGCTGCAAGCACATCAGCAGTCACCACTTTGCAGAGTCTGACTGCACACTCCAGTCCTTTTGTACGGGAAACTCCTGTTTAGCCAACCTCATAAAGCCCAAACAAGAGAAAACCCCATAAAATTAAAACATAATAAAACTCAAAATGAAAACAAGAAGCAGCTTTTCACGCCTTGTAAATTATCCTGTAGAACTCCCTGCCTCAAGATATTATTATGCCAATTAGCAACATTATACAAAAGTTAAAAGTATGTATTTACATGAAGAACAACATCCATAATTAGACTAGAGAGCATAAACAAAGTTGAATATATAAGCTCTCACACTTCAAGGCAGAAGCCAAACAAAAACAGCGGTTAGATGTCTGCAAATTCCCAATACAGTGTCTTACATCCTTTATGAAGTCTCTGTTTGATATCAAGCAAACAAGTTGTAGCACAGGTTTGATCTCTTCCACTGAAATCCGATTCAAAGGAGACTGGAACAGGATAGAAGTATTTCTTTCTCCTTTAATATTTTAATTTCTTTGATCTTACAATCTCTCATTATGTCATTAAATCAACCACTTCAGTAGCAGAAGTTTACGCAGAGCCAACTGTATTTAATGTGCTCAGCAACAAGCCAGCATCAGTAAGAGAATGAATGAAGACAGATATGAAGTCCACACTCCTCCCCCAAAACAGGAAAGAAGCTGAACAACGACTCAGGACTCTGGAGCATCCTTTTCCACTCAGATAAAAGTTGGGTTGGGATAGAGCTCCAACTAGATGCACTTTTCGGCGACATCTTATCCTATAAAGAACACCATAGCTTCAACAAGCTTTTATGGATTTAGCCAACTGTGATATTAGCAAGATATCAAAAGCAAACAAAGCCCAAGAGGGATTTTTTTTTTTTCATCCTCCTACCTAAAATATGTCCATGCAGCACACAGGACTGAGCCACTGCTGTAAACCAAGGACATTACAGCAAACGAACCAGTGCTGGCATCGAAAGGACTCCAGAAAAGCTGTGGGCAGTTTCTGGCCATGAAAAAATAGCTCACAGAGGAGCTGTGATGACAGAGGATGCTGCTTTCCCTCTGCCTGGCTCCCTGCAGACAGCCTGAGAGCACCCAGGCAACGCGTATGGGCTCACTGTGCACAGGGTGAGTCTGCCATGAAGCTGTCGTTGAAAATACCCGTGCCAGAGAGCACGGCAGGGGCTGCAGCGACCAACCAGCCATGGCAAGCAAAAACCCTCAACAGGCAAAGCCAGCGAGCATGGGAAGTAACCTTAACTGGTGCAACTTCGGAGAACTGCACACAGATCATAGAGGAAACTGGAAAATTTAGTAAATGGTCTCCACCTTAAAACTTCTTCATCTAAAAATGTACTTAGAGGTCAAAACACAGCGATTTTTAGCTTTAGAAATGGAAAACAGAATGGTGATTTAGACCTCTCTCTGCAGTAGGCATTCCCAAACACCTGAAAGAAATATTTAAGGAGATCCGACTTCTACTCTGCAAAACACCTGGTCCATCCCCAGGAACAGAAGGGGTGCCACAGGTCAGGAATCGAATTCACCGTTATTTATGCAAACACATTTTCCCAGCACTCTGCAGCCCAGCCCTGGTTCTGAGGACAGAGGCTGAGCAGCACGAGCCTGTGACACAGGGAGGGACGGCTGCTCCACACATCCCACAGTCAGAATCTGCAAAAAGACGAAAAAGCTCAAGAAAAACTGTCCCGTTCCCCCTCTGCCTCCTGCAGCACAGAGCACTTGTGTGGGACTGAAGCCAAGTGCAGTAACCTGACAGCAAAAGCTACCCACCTGCTCCCGTTTGAGTTTCTCCCTCTTCCGGATCAGCTCGATGAGCAGCCGTGCCCGCTCCAAGTCATGCCGCAGCTTTTGCCAGTACTTCAGCTCTTCCTTCACCGCGCTGGTCTTCTCGTCCTGCTCCTTCTGTAAGACAGAACAGGGGGGTGAGATGAAAAACACGACCGGCTTCCTGCGCTTCCTCCTCTTTCTAGGCGTCCCCTGTGAATCGCTCTCATAGTCTTCCTCCTGTCTCCTCGCCTCTTCTTCAGGCTCTGGACCCCCCTTCCCCAGCATTTGGCTGTCTAACACACACAACAATCCTTTATGGATTTTATATGATCTGTGAAGTTAGGCCTGAATCACACTGTAGCTACACTCTGGGAACACGCTTCAGGTCACACTCATTTACACCTTCCCTGCTTTTATAGCCAACTTCTCTAGAGAAGCTGGAAATTCTTTCTGGTGGCTGCTGCGCATCAAAGAGGCAGCCCAAAGCGTTTACAGTGTAAAGGCAGGCGAGCAAAGCACGGCAGAACAGAGCTATTCTTATCCTCCTTGTCACCAGTAAGAAATCGAGCCACGGGAAGAGATTCTACAAAACACAAAGTAACAGCCAACGCTGGGATGAGCTCACACCTTCCGAGACACAGTTCAGTGGCTTCGCAACGCGATGATCCTTCCTCTCCTAAACCTGTAGCTTCTTAAATGGTTTTGAGGATCTAGCTGAAGTGCATATACTGTCACAGGATTGCCAAAAGAGGACGATTGCTTCACAAGATCTTGATGGTTTATATTTATACAACATTTGTTTTAAGAACTTAATTATGGGAAATTGATGACTTAATACGCCAAGGAAATGCTGTATTTCCCCAAGCTCCAGACTGATGAGTGGGAAATATTTTTTTTCTATTGATCACCCAGAGCAGTCTTCATACAAACCAAAAGCCTAAAAATTCCTGCAACTACAGTAAAAATATACGTGCACAATACCTACCGGCAGGCTATGTCACAGTCTGACCGCTTCATTACTTCACCAGCTACTCCTCCTGCCAAGCGCAGTGCTGTTGAACAGCACCGACTGACTCTGGACTCCAGCTCAGAGGAGGAAGCAAAGGAGCCCAGAGCTGATGATTACATCTAAACTTCCTTATGAATGCACATGGGAGGATCAGAAATGGAAGCTGCAGGAAGAACGACCCAGACTGGAATTTGGGCATGACTCTGGAGTTAACACCTATTTTCTGGAGGAGGGGATCTTGAATCACTCACAAGGAACGTGGTTTAGTGATTCATCTGAGAGATCAGTCCACCAGGGACCCATCACACCCGTGCACAACCCCAGGTCTCCCGACTCAAGGGGAAAACCTCCCACCTGCTGGCTCAGCAGCACCAATTCTAGTGGCACAGTGGACATCCCACCACTGATACACTACCTCAGCTCTTCAGGCATCTGCACACCAAGAGGAAACCAAAAGAGACTTAAATCAGTTCACCCTCTGATTGTGTCACCCTTGTTCCCCTTCCCAGCCACGCACCACGTGCATCTCCCCACGGAACGCCAGCTCTCCCTCCCCCGGGGGGTTTGGCTGGGAGCCGGTACCTGCTCCGCGTTCCTCTGGGACTGGAGATGCGAGTGCAGGCGGCGGATCAGGGGCACCCCGTTCCTTGCCTGTCGCTTCAGCAGCCAGTAGTTGTGGAGCCTCTGCATGAACTGGTTCTTCCTCTGGAGGGAGAGGCCGCTGCAGATCTTGTTCAGCCTGAAGGAAGCAAAGAGGTGTCATGGAGCCGACGGCAAAGCCAGCACAACTCTGCAGACCCTGGTGATACCAGCAGGCTTCCCAGCGAAGCTTTGCAGCGTTGCGTCAATGCACACTCTGAACTACGCGTGCAGCTGGTGCAATCCCCACCGTGAAGACGCAGGTGCCTACTTTTCACAATATATCCCGATTTTAGTAGCAGCTCAGCTGGAGGTTCTCACCAAGCCCTTGACACAAAGTACGCAATCACCAATTCTGCTGCCAGCCTTCATTTCAAAACGACTTTCAGTGTCAAGAACATTCCTGGGGGCCATTTAAGTCTGAGGTTATTAAGCTAGAGTCTGGGAAACTAACTTCACAGGAGTCCAAGAGTAATATATCACCTATTTTAACCTTTTCAAACCATTTGTTGGATTATATGTGGTGTTTTATCAGCAGCTTTCCAAAGCTTATCTGTTAAAATACTGGCAACATATCCCCACACTTCCTCATGTGCCAAATGAAAATTCAGCACTACCCAGTTCCGCACGAGAGAGAGCTGGGAGAAAAAAAATACATGGCCAATTTCAAAGCTGTTTGCAACACCGACAAGTTTGACATGCTCTGTAATAAAAGAAGGAATTAAGAAACTATGAAATGAGATTAAAAAAAAATAAATAGTAATAACAGGATGGTCCCTGTCCGCCTGCCAGCTTGTAATGCTTGAGTATTTTAAAAACACCTTCCCAGCTATCTGTGTAAATTTGGATGCTAGATGGGTGCTTGCTGTCAGGGACCACCCCGTATTCTGCGTCACACCACGGATTGGGAGAGCTGCTGGGCAAAGCAGGAAAGCCAGAGTGCCAGCAGCACGTGGAAGAGCACCGGTCAGGGATGGTTCTGCAGAGCACGCCTTGAACATGGCTATTGCCAGGTCTTGATGGGGGACAGCGCTTCAAAGTTCAACAACGAGAGGGATCAGGTCCTCAAAACAGACCCTGTCCAGCTCCAGCTGTCCAGGTCCTTCCCTAACCCTGCACCACTCACCTGTAGGAGGGGATTTGCGTGACTGTCACCATGGGTGCAGACGAATGCCCGTTGGTCACATCACCAGGCTCCTTTTTGATCTTCTGCTTCAATTTCACTTGGTTCTTTTTCAGAGACCCTTTGGGAGGGCCAGAATTAGCTTCCTCCTCTCCCTCCTCCTTCCCAGTGTCCTCCCGACCCTCCCGGCTAGCAGCTCGAGACCCTTTTTTCACCATTCCAGGTGGGGAATGACTCCCACAATAGGCAGTCTTGCGCACGGTGAACGTTGTGCCGTTGATGCTGGTCTCCCTCATGGGTTCGATCTTCATGAAGAGACCAGCCCGCTGGGCACAGGTGACGTGGAAGGCAGTGTAACAGTTCACCTTGTGGCACTGGATAGCAGCTCCCATGCCCTTCCGCTTGCAGATATAGCACGTGAGCTTCCACCGAGCTGGGGGGATGTTATTTATCCCTTCGATGGGCTCCAGGAACACAGTGTTTGCAAAGCAGACCTCTGGGATCCAGATGGCACAAACCACGTGAGCCCAGCGGCCATCGCTAGTCTGCTTGAAGGCTCCACCTTTGTTGGGGCAAAGGACACAATCCACAGGGCGAGAAGGGGACTGTAAGCAGCAGCGGCAAAGCCACTGCCCCTCGGGGATATAGGGCACACCGTAACACTCCTGGTGCACGGCCAGGTTGCAGATATCGCAGAACAGGATAACGTTGCTGTTGTGACACTCATCGTCCATGCAGACACAGCAGAAGGCATCCTCATCGACAAGCGACTGCTGAGCACCGTTGTTGCGGCTCTCGAGGTACGACTCCTTTTCCATCCGGTCCACCAGCAGCTCAAAAGTGTCAGGAGAAACCGTCCCATAACCATCGTCCCTTCTCTTCTCGTTGACCATTTCCAGCCAGGCCAGATCCTCCTCATCCATGTCATACTCCACCTCTACATCCAGGTCCTCAGGAGGCTTTTCAATGTACCGGTAGTAGGCGGCGGGGAGAGGAGGGGCGTCTGGCTGGCTGAAGAAGTCCACCACGCGGAAGTTGGGCTGGGGTAAGTGTAAAGACATTCCTGGCGCATGCTTGGAGCAAGACTCCTTCTTCTTGCCTTTGGAAGGTGTTTTTTTAGATTTGGAAGGGAAAAGGGGCTGCTCGCTGTTTTCTTTGTTGCTGTTGCACTCTGTGATATCCTGGGCAGTCAGCTCATCCTCCGTGATGATTTTTAAGGGATCATAGATGCTGATGCGATGAAGCCGTCCGTCGATGTCCACCTCCACGATCCGCTGGGCCTGGGCGTACGTCAGCGTCTCGCGAGTGGGTGAGCACTTGAGGCTGTAGGGCGAGGGAGAACGTCTCCCCTCCAAGTTCTGCCGGGACCTCCTCCGAGGCTTCCTCATCGCTGCAGCCCAGAGACCCTGCAACAAAACAGGACAGAGGATGCCATGAGCCAAGGAGACAAGCAAGGAGCAGCACAGATGCAAAAACTCACTCAGCACTGCAACAGAACAACATTTCCACCAGAGACTCCAGCAATCTCACGTGTGCTGAGGCATTGTCAACCTCTTAGACACAAGCACGTCACAGATATATCAACTGTTCCTTGCAATGTGTACCGCAGCAACGCACAGCACCCTCCAGCCTTCTCTATTTGCAGGTCAGATGTATATACCCCCATATCACCAGATGAGAAGAGCTCAAATTATTCTTACAGTGTAGCATCCAAACAGTCAGCTCAGCAAACCATTCAGATCCCCCAAAATTCAAATAATAGTACTTATCACATCGGCTCACACCGTTCACATACCAAGTTCACACAAGTCAAGGAGTTCTGCTCTGTTCTTTTGCCTGTGGCTTTTCTTTTACATCCCCAATAGCCACAAAATGTGCTGGATGCTTTCCAGACCAAAAGGAAAGCACTGTTCCTGCCCTATAAAGCAGTTCACTTTTTTTTTTTTTTTTTTTTTTTGTCGTCACTGAGAACACCAGCAGTGCTCCCTCAGTCGAGGAGGGAGCTCCTCTGAGTTTCCCACCTCGGGGCTGCCACACCACTTCTTCCTTTCCCACATTGCTGAGGCAAAAAGGTCCGTAAAGAAAAATCACCTTGCTTTCCCTTCTCTTGCAGACGTAGCTGTTCCCAATGCCACTCTCCAGACCATGAGCGCTTAAAGCACCGTGTCCTTCCTGACAGGCAAAATGGGTCACGAAAGCCCAACCAGAACCGGAGCATGAACCAAGCAACGCAGCGGGTGCTAGATGTGCACCCCTTCTGCTCCTCACGGAGATCCATGAGAAAGCAAAGGGGAATGAGCAGAACAAGCAGCACAGATCCAGACGGACTTACTGGTTTTGGCTGAGCATTAGCCCCTCTGGAGCCACAATCTGTGTTCAGGCACCCGGGCTGGTTCCGCATGGAGGGTCCAGGGGGGTAGGAGGAGGAAAGCAGCATGACAGCTTCTGGAGTGCACCAGGAACCTGCGATGGCATTTGCTCAGAGCCTTAACTAAAAGCCAGCTCTGCGCTCGCAAACTGCTAATCAGCAACCCTGATAATTACTGGAGTTGGCTGCTGACATTAAGGAGGTGCCCGTCAAGGGGGACCCGGAGCAGAAGCCTGGAGCCAGCGAGATGAGCTGGGGGAGGATGGAGGCACGGCAGCAGGAGCCTGGTGATGGGAGGGTGAAGGAGGGAGGCAGCCAAGAGGAAGCCAAAGGAGTAACACAAGCAAGAAGGGCAGCGTCAGGGCTGGGAACATGAGTTACGAGAAGAAATGGGCTGAGGCTGAAACAAGCCAGAGAGGAGACAAAGAAAAGCAAATGTAAAATCTCCCTGAGAAGATAAGTCAGCCCAGAGCTTATCTGTTGCTATGCAGCGCCCTGAACCAGCACCTCACCCTTATTTAGAGCAATCCACACTGTCAGCTCCTTGCTGTGGGACCCGCAGACAGGAAAACACACTACAGAAGCCGAATTGGTACTCAGGAGTTGCGTTATTTCTGCTCCATGAAGGACACAGCTCCCCAAACCCTCAGTCGTGAGTCAGGGCAAGAAGCACCTCACAGAACCAGGACTGACAAGAAGCCCCAAGCTTATTCCAGAAAGATATCTGTAACAAATTCCAACACGCTTCCCTTACAAGTACTGTCTCTGTGAACCACAAGACTAAGCCACAACACGTGTGCTAAGGAATAAACAGGCTTTGGGAAAAGCTTCCAAACTCTCTTTTGCATCCACAGAAATAAGCTGCAGATGCCAGTTTCCGTACACAACACCCGCAACGATGGAGCCTGTGGGCACAATTTCATTTCAGATGATAATTTCCACCTGCAAACATAGGCACCACGAATTTCAGGACTTCTGCATTAAAATTCTAGATCAGCCACTTGACCAGCAGACTGCAGAGATCCAACTGCACTAGTCCCAGCTGAGCTCCAGCAGCTTCAAGCAATAGGAAAAAAAAGAATTTTAAAATAAGGGTATAAAGGCAACTTGACCGTCAAATGAAAAAACTAGAAAATCCTGCTGACAAACAGCCTTCTTGCAATTCAGGTGGGTTTCAGCAAAGAAGATATCAGAAAGAAAAAGATATCTGAGCAAAAGGTATTGGAAGATAAAGTAATCAGCTTGAGCTGACCACACTCACATTTAATATTGTGTTCAGGGAAAAAAAAAAAAAACATTAGCCAATTGCTGGGAGAGCTGAGGGATGAGCACATTTCAGCAAAACAAGCACCTCAAGGAAGGGTTATTTTACAGGAAAAACAAGGTTACGGCAGTGCTCCTGTTGCTTTAGTGAAACAATCAGTATACTGTCTAGAGAAATTACTGAAAGTGGGCTTTCCACCACAGCAACCGACTGCCATAAAACAACCCCTTTGTAACACACACAGTCACTTAACGCTACGCAGAAGCATCTAAAAGGGCACGGAAATTGCTGCCAGGGAGAGCGGAGTGCCTGGGATATGACATGCACCTGGATATTAGGAGAGACACAGCTGCCCACCTCCAAAATACCCAAAAAAATGAAATCAACTCAGACACACCAAGCTGAACACCGTGACCTTGGCTGCAACACAGGAACTTCTAAGGAGCAATCTAGGAACGTTTGGATCTTCTTGGAACACTCGAAAACACCTCGCAGCCACAGATAAAAAAGAATCCCTCTGCAAACAGCACCTGTGCATACTGAAATGCTAAATAAATAAAAAAATAATAAATGCTAAATAAACTTGACTCCAGCAGGGTTCGGACTGTGGGTTTCTGTCCCACCACGGACAAAGGTTGCTCATGTGAAGGCAGAAGTTCAGTCGTCCCCTCGATGTCACCACAGTGTGTTCAGGGCTTTCCAAAAACCTCCCATCAGCCATTTCCACCAGGTATTGCACCAGGAGCAGGGGTGAGGTTCCTAGAGAGCACAACTGAGCAAACAGCCAAACAGCGTGGCTGGAACATACAAAGCCACCGGGATGAACTTACTTCTACCCCAGGAATTCGCTCAGGAACCATTTAACTCTCCCGAGCAGCGATTTTCACACCTGTGGGCCAGACATGCCGGGGGGGGCTGCAAAAGGTGACCAAGAACAAGCCCATCATCAGGACACTTAAATTTACTACACGGGGTTGAAAGTTCCACTGAAAAAAACTGGAGAGATCCTTGTATCGAACAATATCGAACTCCTTCCTGCTTCTGGTCCTACCATGCCAACAACCAAGGATTTTCTTTCCAGCGCCGGGTTTCTTTGCTGACCTGCAGAGGATGCTGGAGCTCGAGGTAGTGCTGCTGGGGGAGCTTCCTGGCCCTTTCCAGCGTGGCCTGGGGATCCCAGCAAAGAGCTAGGTCCTTCAACGATCTTGGGTGATTTGGAGCGAGAAGGTGGCCACCCGGACCTCAGTGGGCAGCAGCAGAGATGGGAACAGCGTGGCTGATGTTCCACCCTGGCACACCACAACCGCCAGCAGAGGCTACAGCTCACACAGCCCCAGAAAGTTTGGATTCCAGCGTTACCGGAGCCTGCTTCTCTCTGGGACGCCACGTCAAACACGAGGTCTGGAGATCTCCCTCCTTGTTGCCGTCCCGTGCTGGCAGCCACGCAGCTCCAGGTGGAGGCTTGTTGCTGTTCGCTGGGATTTAAAACCTCTTTGTGCACCATGAGGAACAGATCTCCAGAGCTATTTAAGAAATGCGTCCGTAAAATAATGGCAATGGATGCCAGAAGAAACAAACAGCCCAAAACAGTCACAGTCCCTTTTTCACCTTTCTTCTGCCAACCAAAAATGCCGCGTGAGGCTCTTGCACTCAGGCCACGAGCTGTGTCCGGCCTCAGCAGCTCT